CAGGAAGGCGTCCTGGGGGTCTCGTGGATTTTTCTTCGGGGCGCCTCGGGGGCCTCACCCTTCAGGGCCTCTTCCAGGCCTCGTGTCGGCCTCAGGGCACCCTGTTGGGACCTCTTGGGGACATGGGAAGCGGTCTACTATGTTCAATGGAAACAGAAATCTTGGGGAGGCTTGTCCAAGGGGGGTTGTTTCGGAGGGGGTGTCCGGGGCTTGTCCGGGCTTGTCCGGGCTTGTCCGGGGCTTGTCCGGGGGGGGGGTCCGCGGATTCTTTTGGATAGGTTTTTTTTTCCCATTGGACATAGTAGGGGGTCGTATTGGGACGAGGGCTCGGAGTGCCACTCCGTGCTCCCCTATGGGGCTCCTCCCGGGGCCGTCCTGGGGCGGTCTGGAGGGCGCCTCGGGCCGTCGCGGGCGCTCCCGAGGTCGAACACCGTTCGGGGGGGAAAAAACACACAGACACAGACACAACTGATCGTCGATTCCCAAGAAAATAGGGAAACTATGGGAAGTGGAGGGGAAGACAGAAATCCAAAAAATATGAGAGAATATGGGGAATATTTTTATTTGTGTATATTTATTTGTGTGTCCCAGGGCCCCTTGAACCATGGCACGCGAAAACCACATTCAACGCATTTTTTAACCCCAAAAAAACCAAAAGCAAAACAATTTGCCCCCTCCTCCTCCCCCGCCTGTGTGGCCGCTCTGCCTGCCTTCGTCGCGCCCCGTGCGTGCCGGGCAATTCGCTCCTCGGCCGCCCCGATGGCGCAGCTCGTTTCCGCTGGCGCAGCTCGCCTCCGCCTCGCCGCCGCCGGAGAGAAGAAAGACGTGCTTTCAGTCGGTTTGGGCTCTGTTGGGGGGGCTAGCCTTAAGTCGGGCCTGTCCCCCTACAGGGGGATTTTCGACGAAAGATAACAAACATTCCAAACATAGTCCAAAAATAGTCCAAAAATAGTCTGGGGACTTTGTGTTGCATGTGTTTTGACCTTTTTGGTGTATTTTTGGAGTTATTTTTTATTTTTCGTCGAAAATCCCCCTGTAGGGGGACACGCCCGACAGAAGGCTAGCCCCGAAGGCCTCCAAGACTGCCCCGAGGGGCCCCCCGGACGGGGGGAGCGCCCGCGCGAGCCTCTCCGGAGGCAGCCTGGCAGCACACGACGCCGGAGTGCTGCCCCGCGGCCTCGCTCCCAGAGGGCCTCGGTGTAACACAGCTGGTGGGCTCGTGTGCCACCACCGCCAGAAGCTGGAGGGGGGAAGGAGCTGGAGGTCGAGGAGGAGGAGGATGAGGACGAAGAGGATGGGGAGGAGGAGGCGGAGGAGGAGGAGGAGGAGGAGGAGGAGGAGGAGGAGGAGACGGAGGACCCCCTCCCCCTCCTACTTCTGGTGGCGGTGGTGGTGGAGAGCCTGCCCATCAGCAGCGACGAGAGGCAGTCCCGAAGAGGGCCTGGGACCGCCTGGGGATCGGGGCGCCCACATTTCGCGAGGCTGGTCCGAAGAAAAAGAAGAAGAAGAAGAAGAAGAAGAAGAAGAAGAAGAAAAAGAAGAAGAAGAAGAAGAATAATAATAAGAATAATAAGAAGCAGAAGAAGAAGAAGAAGAAAAACGCCATGCGCATCGGCTTTCGGCGCTCCGCGCGGACTTCTTGGACCCGCGCTGGGCCCCCCTCCCTGGCGCGCGGCGCGACATGGGCCGGCGCCCTGAGGCGCCGCCGGGGGGGGGGCCCAGGGCGGGTCCAAGAGATCAGAGCGGAGCGCAAAACGTTTATGTCTATGTAGTTTTCCTTCTTCTGGTGGTGCTTGCAGGCACGTTGAAGAGAGAGGGAGCAGGGAGGGCTGGGTGAGGACGGTCAGCCTGATGCCTCAGTTGATTGCGCTTCCAGCGTGGACTCGTGCTCCGGGGCGCCGAACACGGAGGAGAGGATGAGTGGGAGGAAAAGGAGGAGGACGAGGAGAACGATGAGGAAAATTTCGGAGGAACATAATGAAGACGTCGGAGATCGTCGGTGTCGTTGTTATCGTCATCGTCATCGCACAGTCGTTATCGTCGTCGTCGCCGCCGCTGCCGTCGTCGTCTGCGTTGCCGTCATATGCGTAGTCGTTTCAGTCGTCGTCGTCATCGCCCAATCGTTGTCTAGTCGTCGGCGTCGTCGCTCAGTCGTTGTCGCCATCGTCTGCGCCTGCTTCGTCGTCGCCGTCGTCCAGTCGTCAGTCATATGGTCGCCGTCGTCTTCGTCTTCGTCTTCGTCGTCGTCTTCTGTCGTCACCGTCGTCGCCCAGTCGTCGTCATCGTCGTCGTCGTGCAGTCGTCGCCGCAGCAGAGTCGTCTTGTCGTCTGCGTTGTCGTCGTCGTCGTCGTCGTTGTCGTCGTCATCGTTGTCGTCTACGTCGTTTGAAGTCGTGCAGTCGTGTAGTCGTCGTCGCCCAGTCGGCCTCGTCTCCGTCGTAGTCGTCGTCGCCGTCGTCGCCCAGTAGTCGTCATCGTCGTTGTCGTTGTCGTCGTCGTCCAGTCGTGGCCGCCCAGTCGTCGTCGTTGTCGTCCTCGTCATTACCGTCGTTGTTGCCGTTTGCATGGTCTGCAGTCGTGAAGTCGTCGTCTTGCAGTCGTCGTCGCCGTCGTCGTTGTCGTTCAGTCGTCGCCACCCACTCGTCGTCCCCGTCGTCGTCGTCGTCTTCGTCTTCGTCTTTGTCGTCGTCGTCGCCCAGTCGTGATCGTCGTCGTGCAGTCGTCGCCGCCGGGTGGGGGCAGTTGTCGTCGTCGTTGTCATCGTCGTCGTCGTCGTAGTCATTGTCGTCTGCGTCGTTTGCAGTCGTGCAGTCGTGTAGTCCTCGTCGCCCAGTCGGCCTCGTCGTCGTCGTCGTCGCCGTCGTCGCCCAGTCGTCGTCGTCGGCTGCGTCGTCGTCGTCGTCGTCGTCGTCGTCGTCGTCGTCGTCGTCAAGTCGTCGCCACCCACTCGTCGTCGTCGCCGTCGTCGTTATCGTTGTCGTTGTCGTCTGCGTCGTTCGCAGTCGTGAAGTCGTCGTCTTCCAACCATCGTTATCATTATTGCCGTCGCAGTCGTTCTCCTCGTTCAGTCGTCGCCATTCACTTGTCGTTGTTGTCGCCGTCGTTTTCGTCTTCGTCGTCATCTTCTTCGTCTTCGTCTTCGTCTTTGTCGTCGACGTCGCTCAGTCGTCGCGTCGTCGTCGTCGTTGTCGTCGTTCTCCAGTCGTCGTAGTCGTCGTTGTCGTTGTCGTCGTCGTCGTCGTCGTCGTCGTCGTCGCCGCAAGGCCAAGGTGCGCACGGGCAGTCTGGTGGCGCCCAGGTCCACTGCGGGGGTCCCAGGAGATGCGCTCGAGCGCTCTGGTGGCGTCAAGGCCCACTGTGGGGGCGTCACATCATGCCCCCCCCCCTGTTCCCCCCGCTACCCCCTAACGCGCGTTATCGCCATGAATGAAAACGTCCTCCATGAGTGAAAACACTCTCCCGCCTCAGACTTTTGGTACCTCGTTCTTTCCCTCCCGCCCCTCCCTCGTCTTCTCTCTCCGGGAAGCCAAGCCTTGCCACCCTTAAAAAACGGGAGGTTGTGCCACTGCGCGAACGAAAGCACCTGACGCAAAGTATGGCAAGTGGAGCAGGCGGCGCCAACCGTTCACAGATGCGCAGGACATCACTCGCTGTGCTCTGCGTTGCGGCGCTATGTTCACCGAAGCGCGTCCGCCAGTTCGCGTGACGTGAAATATCAGGACGGGTGTATACGGCGAGCAGTCGCTGCCGTAGCTCCCCTGCGTCATTGCCGCGCCAAAAATCAAGCACCAAAACCTGTCCGCCATGGTGTTTTGAGGTAGGCGGAGCAGGGTCCTTGGTCTCTTTTATGTCATTGGGGGTCCTGGGGTGACATAAAACTTTTCATTGACATAAATGTGGGGTGGACAGAACCCCCAACAGTGACACGTCGATTAGTGAATTGTCCGTTTTCGGTTCTCGAGAGGGCGCCGTGGCCGTTATTTTCCAGGCTTGCGCCCGCCAGGTTTGGGCCTCAGGTCGTTGTCACTAAACCACGTTTTACTAAAGGGGGGTCTGTCCATCCCCGAATAAAACACAGAGCACACGGGATTTCAGAAAGCCGGACGGGCCGCTCAGCGTGCCAGCGTGGGCCGCCGCCGCTCCAGCCGTGGTGGCCTTTGGGAGCCGGCGCCGGAGCCGCCGCCGCACGCCGCTCCGGCCGTCGCGGCTCAGGCCGCCAGCCCTGGGTTTAGGTCGGGCCTGTCCCTCCGCAGGGGAAAGATTCGAACATAGTCCAAATTCGAAAACATATCTGGGCATCTTTTTGGGGTATGTTTTAGGGTATTTTTTTTTGTTTTTCGTCCAAAAGCCCCCTGGATGGGACAGGCCTGTCCCCTCCGGAGGGGAGATATTCGAAAGTAGTCCAACACATAGTCTGGGGGCCACTCTTTGATGGGAGTATTCTGGGGCCTCTCTTTGGGGGTATTTTTTGGGGGGCATGCTTGGCTTTTCGTCCAAAACGCCCCCTGTAGGGGGACAGGCCCGACCTAGTCCTAGGCGCTCCCTCGCCTGGGCCGCTCGTTGTCTGTGCTCAGTCTGTCCGGGCCCGGCTCGAGGCACGCCATGGCCCGCCCCTGCGGCCGCGTGGCGCACCTGCGCGGCCTGGGCGCCTCGCGCGCCGGGCTCCCGCGGGGCCTCGTGCTCTTCGCCTCGGCGATGCTGCTCGCGGCCCTGGGCCTGATCCTCCATCGGTGCGCGGAGGAATCCCGCAGATTCCTTCCGAGTACATCACCAACTCAAAAAAGACGCCCCATCCCAGAAACGCGAGGGCCACGACGGAACGCAGGCTCCTCGAGACTTCGGGGAGGGGGAGGTTTTCGGGCAGGGTTTTACCAGGGTGAACACGACGAACGCAAAACATACCCCGAAATCTTTGGCCGATCTTCGAATCCTAGGTGAATCCGCGATTTTGGGATTGGGGATGTGTTTTTTCTGGGTCAGTACAGACATGACCGTTCCGAATGCAAATCACGTCTGGTGGAGTTCGGACCTGTTCTGGCACCCGACCGGTACCAACTCTCTGGGCCTGGACTACCGCAGGTTGCAAGGAAATTGGACTGCCCTCTGTCGCGTCGACAGCAACCACGACGGAATATCCAACGGCCAGCACCTGGGTGATCCATGCTGCCGCTGGCAGCCCTCTCGGGATGCTTTCTCTGTGCAGGGCGATCGCGAGTATCTGGGGAGCCAGGAAGGTGAGCCTGCCCTGTGCCCCATACCTCCGGAGGGCAGGAGGCTGAGGGGGACGGGAGGGACGAGGGGCAGGGGGGAGGCTGGAGGAGTGGAGTTGGGAGGCTGGGGGAGGTGGGTGGCTGGAGTCAGGCGATCGCAAACATGGATCAAGCGGGCGTGGATTAGCGACGGGTCCCGCTTCCATGGGAAATCGCGGATTTCCGCCGCCGCGCGAGGCGGCGCCGCCCGCATTTTGGGGAGGGCACCTCCCCCGATCCATGGATTTGGCGACCGCGCGCCAAATCCATGGATCGCGAATCCATGTTTGCGCACGCTGGAGGGGGGAGGAGTGAGGGTAGGCGCGGGTATTCTTCTGTGCTCCCCGAGATAGACGTTGGCGTCTCTCCCATCCGTCGGAGAACTCCACCACAGCGCGTCTCAGAATGAAGGAGATCACGCAGCTTCGGGACCAGCCAGAGAACTGCAGCAGCTCATACGATAAGGCCAGGTACAGGGAGGATTTCATCTCGTTCTATCCTGGAGGCTTTTGCCATTCAGCCGTGTTCACGGGAGACGTTGAGGAGTTGACCCCCCTTTCCCTCCCCCGAAACATTAGATCGGGGTTCGCAGGGAGGGAGAAGGAGAAATGGCAACGGCCACCCGTGGCAATCATCAGCTGGCGGACTTCCACAATGCTGCCGTGCGGGAGAACGATGTGCGCAACTTTGAGCAGTTTGTGAAGTTCGTGGGCGTTATCGCAATGCTGGCCATTATTGTGCACTGGGCATTTTCGAAACAACTTTTGGCAGACGTATTCCCCTGGGCTTCTGCGTCCAGACCCCTCCCGTTCCGCCTTCGCCTAGCGATCTGTTTCGCGAGTTTCCTTTACATGGACATGACGAGCGGCATCATCCACCTGGTCCTTGACTATGCCCCGTTTTATTTGCCAGGCATCGGCGTTCTGGCCCGGGGGTTCCAATACCACCACTATGACCCCACAGTTTATGAGGACAAATCCTGGAGGCCTTGCGCGGCGCGCAATAGTTGTATCATATAGTCCACACGTCAGCTCCGTAAGCCATGGGTCGACATTCGCGCGGCGATGCTGTCAGTCCGACGTACATCCTACGTCATTCCGGCGTAATCCGACGTGAACCCAACGCAAACCCGACGTGGATCCGACGTACATCGGGTCTCACGTTGCCGTGCGTGGCCTCCAGGATTCTCCTCATATCACAGCGATCATCCGCATATCTTGGTTTGCGTACGTTTCGCACATCCACCTCCTCTGCCCGGTCATCCAGGTCGCTGTAGTCCTCAGCGGCGCTTCCCGCGCGCAGCGGCTGTTCTGGTTCTGGGGCGGCATATGGGCCCATCTCTTCCAGACTGCACATCGGTGGGCCCACATGCCTCCGGAGTGGCTGCCCTTCGCTGTACGCTTCCTGCAGGGCCATGGCTTGCTGCTCAGCCACGAGCGGCACATGAGCCATCACGAGGACCTCGAGCACCAGTTCACGATCCTCTCGGGCCACACGGATGTGATCGTGGACGGCGCTTGCAGCCTCGTGCCGCCGGTGAGGTATGACCTCTGGTTCCTGATCGGGGTCCTCTGGTTCCTCCTGCCCATCTTTGCCGACGTCGCATGCCAGGACGCGGTGCACAGGCCCGGGGCGATCGCCTGCGAGAGGGTCGAAGGGGAACGCGCCGGGCGCAGCTGCTTCTCGATCGCCGCCGGGCCGCACGAGAAGGTGTAGGGCGCCAGCGCTCCGCGGCGTCGGCCAGGGGCCGGCGCTATGTCTCACCAGCCACCAAACCACCCCAACCCAACCCGAGGGCCCAAATCTGCCCTCGATTTCCGGTGGGGGGGGGGTCGGGGAACACCGAGAAAACATATGCCGGGAGCAGAAAAGAGGGGGGTGATGACTAGGGGGGGTGGATTTCATGGCGCGGGCCATGATTTTTCCTCAGATTTCATGGCGCCTCTTCTTATTTCATTACGTCCCAGGCCCCCCCAATGGGCCGCGCATATGCCGCCGGTCATGATTTGCCCCCCCCCTCTTGGACACCCGCCTCTTGGCCGCTCCCGAACATGGAACCCGTACCCCCCCAACCCGACGTTCGGGTCAAATTCGGATCTTCGGGTTGGGTTGGGGTGGTCTGGCAGGTAGTCAGTGTCTCAGCTCGACGCCGTGCCACCTCCGCCTGCCCGTGCGCTCCGTCCTCCACGGCCGCTTCCTTCGCATTGGGCCCGCGCGTGCGGCGAGGGTGTCCCAAATGCCAGGATCAGGGTGGGCGTGTCCTCCTACACAGGGGGAATTGTGGTAGGCAAGCATTGTTCAAACATAGGTAAACATAGTGTCAAACAACCGCCCCCAGGCTATTTTTTGACTATTTTTTGAATGCTCCTCCTGTAGAGGGACAGGCCCGACTTGATGCCAGGAGGAGCAGCGCACGGCGGCCGCGGGCACGGTCTGCGGAGGACCGTGTGTGCGTGTGGAGTCATGCGCAACGCTTCGTAGGGGGACACCCGCCGGACAGGCGCGCCGTCCGCTCCCGGGCCACTTTGGGGGGTTACCATGGGGCTGTTTGGGGCTGCAGTGGGGGCGTCTTTGGTAATCTGTCGGCCCTCTCTGGGCCGTCTCAGGCGTCTCTCGTGGCTATATCGATCGGGGCCGTCGGCGGGCCCCTGTGGGCCGCCCTGGGGCTGGGGGCCCTCTTCTGGGCTTCCCTTGAGCCGCTTGGGCCGCTCTTGGGGCCCCTCTGGCTCACCTTGGGGACGAGCTTGGAGAGCTCGTTCGCAACGACCGCAACAGCACATCAGCTTCGACTGGGGGCTTTTCAATCGTCCTTGCCTCTGGGGGCCTCTTTGGCCCGGCTCCAGGAGTTTCTCTTTGGGTCTTCTTGGGGCATCTTGAGCTGCTTCGGAGGCCTCCATGGCTTCTCTTGGGCTTTCTCGGAGAGCCCTCCTCCTTTTCCTCCTCCTCCTCCTTCATTCCTTTTCCTTATGAATATCTTCTCCCTGTCGCACCCCGAGGCCAGTTTTTAGGGCGGGCCGGGCGTTTCGCCTGAGACTTCCTCTCCATTTCTGACTCCTAAGCTTAAACGTTGACAACAGTTTCACATATGGAGGGCGGGTGGTTCTCAACATGTGGCTCTCGCCTTAGCGCCGCGCACAGTCGATTTAACATATTGCAAGGGTTTCGTGGATTGAGCACCACCCGTTTTCAATATGTGGCTCTCGTTTTGGCGCCGCGCACATTCGTTTTAAATGTTTGCAAGAGTTGCACGGATTGAGGATCACCCGTTTTAAAAATCTGGCTCTCGCTTTAGCGCCGCGCGCATTCGTTGTAAACGTTTGCAAGAATTCCACATATTGAGGGCGGTTCCTTTTCAAAATGTGGCTCTCGCCTTGGCGCCGCGCACATTCGCTGACAAAATTTGCAAGAGTTTCACGGATCCCCGCGATCAACGTACCAGAAATGGTGATTTGGAAGGATTCAGGATTTCGCGGGTGCAACAATTACGTTGATGCGTGGTGTTGAAATCCCAAGAATGGCGTTCTGGCACGATCCAGGATCGTCAAGACGCAACAGTCAGGTTGATCCGTGGCGTTGGAATCCTGAGAACAATGTTTTGGCATGCTTCCGGGTCTTCAAACGGTTGTCGTCCAACGAGGCAGATCTCTCCATGGAAATGAGCCGCTGTAGGGGCCTGTGAAGAGGGAGCTTGGAGGGAGGGTGTATCAGCACGCAAGCAAGGCCTGGAGAAGTGCCGCACCGCCCGAGATGATCCCACTTCTGAGGCCCCTTCGCCAACCTCTGACACTCAACGTTCTAAGAACCACACCAGTGGAAATGTGCAGGTAGCTGTATAAGTATTGTATCATGATACGTATAATAATATGTGCATGTGTACGTGTGTGCTTCATGTTTATGTATGTATTGGAACGTGTATGTATATATATATATATATATATATATATAGATATGTAGTTGTACACACATGTACATATACAGCTCTTTCTCTGTGCCTGTCTTTTTGTCTGTCTGTTTGCCTGCCTGTCTGCTTCTCTCTCTCTCTCTTTGTGTTCCCTCTCCCTCTTTCGCTCTCTCTCTAACCCTCTGTCTCTCTCTTTCTCTCCCCTCTCTCTCTGAGTGGCTCCCATCGCGTCCACTCCTCGGCGCGCCCACCTGCTCTTCCTGGTCGCTCTGGCGTCGTTCTGCGCCTCTCCCCGCCTCACTCGCCTCTCTCCCTCCCTGAAGCGGAGGAGGAGGGCTGGCGGGCGGGAAACCTCTCCGCATTCGCGCCCTCACGGGCCAGAGCCGCGGGCCGCACCGCTGGGGATACACGGGGCGCTTTCTCGCGGTATTGGCCCGCACGAGGCGCTTCCGTGCGACCGGATCCACGGGACAGCGCCCCAGAATCCACGCCGCGAGCGCGTGGATGTGAACGCGTGCGCCGCTCGTGAGAGGAGGAGGAGGAGGAGGAGGAGGGGGAGGAGGAGGAGGAGGAGGAGGAGGAGGAGGAGGAGGAGGGGGAGGAGGAGGAGGAGGAGGAGGAGGAGGAGAGGAGGAGGAGGAGGAGGAGGAGGAGGAGGAGGAGGAGGAGGAGAGGGGGAATCTTCCGCCCAGGAGACGGACTACGCGGGGCGCTCCTGGATAGAGAACAAGGTGAAGCCGCCGAAGGAGCGTCCGCGCGGCAGCTGGTGTCGTTCGCTGGTTCTTGCCGCGGGGTCTGGGGATGGGGGAGCGAGGGACGCTTTTGGGGCGGAGGAGGACGAGCATGATGGTAATTGAGAGCAGGAGCAGGGGGAGCAATAGGAGGAGGGATGTCAGAGGAGGAAACGATTCCGATACGCCTCAACATCTTGGTCGGAACGCACCTGGGGAGGGGGTGCGATTGGAAGACTCGTGAGCCCATACAGGGGTTCGCGCAACCAGCAGCAGGACAACGTGCAGGGCGGCGAAGCGGGGGGAGGGGGAGGATGAGGACCACGGAGGAGGAGGAGGAGGAGGAGGAGGAGGAGGAGGCGACGAAGAGGAGGAGGAGGCGACGAAGAGGAGGAGTAGGAGGAGGAGGAAGAGGAGGAGTATGATGACCGAGGGGGAGGAAGGGAAAGGGATCTTTATCTTCTCCCTCCCTTGTCGTCACCGATATTGCTGATAAGCATTGTATATACGTGCGTGAATGTGCATGCTTGTAGTCATGTATGTATGTATGTTCGTTTAAGTACTTTTCTCTCTAGTTATTCAGATGTTCCGAATAATTGGTGCATTGAGGGTTTCAGCTACGCCCGGGGTGGGAGGAGGCGACTTTGGGGAAGCGGGAGGTGTGGGACAACCAACGTGATTCTTGGGTGAACCAGATTTGTCTTCTTTGGGGCTTCCTGGATGGGGACGCGGTGACCTTGGTTGTAAACGTCGACGTCAGACTGCACCGGCAGACGCCGACGGTCCTGCCCCCAAGTCTTCCGCGGCGGGTGCGGTAACCCTTTGGTCCAGACCTCCCGGTCCTCCAGTGCTGCTGAGGGTGATGACCGTACCTCTAGTGAGCTCGTCGAAGTCCCAGCCACGAAGAGACGTAGGAGATACACGGCCACGGCATCCGTAGAGGCAGCGCCTTGCGGGTTTGGGCATAAATTCCATCAGGGCGGTGACATTTTCCGTAGGTTTCGATTCCCTTTGAATCCACAGGATTCCCAGACTCAGTGACAATCCCCTCATAGACGATTCCGGGCGGTAGTGGACAACCACATGTTAGCTGATAATTTATGTGGGCACCCGAAGTCATCTCAGCGTATGCTTCACATCCTCCCCTCCTGTTCTGACCTTTCAGTGCATATCTGCGGAGTCCAGGGTTGGAGCCCCATCAGCGATGAACAGGACCCCATCGTGTGGAGGTCTCGTGACTTTAACAAGGAAGCTGACGGTCTCTGCAACTGGGCCATGAATCATCGTCAGAGTTTCGTGGCTTGTAACCCCGACTTCGACCAGCTAAGTCGGGAGTGCCCAGAGTCCAACCTGGTGTTGTGGAGCGACGGGGGGAGGCGCGCTGACGGATGCGGCGGTTCGGCTTTCGTGCTGTGCCGTTGGGTGGGAGACAGTCTCATCCCTATCGTGTTTGCTGCTTTTTATTGCGATTTTGTTGACGATTCCGCGATATCGGAGGTTGGAGGCCTCGGGAAAGGTTTGCTAGCACTGTCATGCGTAGTCGCTTGTGAAGGGAGCCTCCGGCAGCTGATCCAAGGGCTGCAGGCTCTTAAAACACCGATTTCGTGTCACAGTTCCGCGTGGGAGCATGAGTTCGAGTAGCGCAGGTCTTCTGGCAGGGTTCTTGTTCAGGCAGCTGGTGCAGCATAGCCAAGGGGTAAATAAATACATTGAGGGTTTCCTGCTTCTCTTCTAAGGAACTGGGCCTGTCTGCAGCTCTGGCGGTCATGTTGCCGCCGTCACAATTCCGTCGCCGCCTCGTCGCCGCCCGTCGTCTGGGCCTGTCAGCCAGTCCGGCGGCTATGCCTCCGCCGTCGCCGCCCCTTCGCGGCCCTGTTGCCACCCGTCGTTTGGGTCTGTCTGCAGCTCTGGCGGCTATGTTGCCGCCTTCGCCACCCCGGCGCCGCCTCGTCGCCGCCCGTCGTCCGGGCCCGTCTGCCGGTCTGGCGGCCATGTTGTCGCCGTCGCCGCTCTGGCGCGGCCTCGTCGCTGTCCCGGGATGGACTGCTCCACAAAGACTGCACAACATAGGCTGCGTCGATTGC